TTATCTTTAAGCTAACTGCGCATGTCCACATTCTTTCACTTTCTTCTATCTTTCTTTGTTCTCCGGCCAAGAGAGGTCCTGCAGGAACGCTGCCAAGATGTAATTAATTAGCTAGTAAAATGTTTTTACTTCTTTATAATAAAATGTGTTTATTAGAATATATCTCGGTTTTATTTTCTTAAAGTATACTTCAAGGAAAGGTCACGATCCATTCTCTAATCAAGGTTTAATTACCCAAAAGCAGAATGGGATTAATTGCCTACCCTGACAGAACGGATGCAGGAACTGGGTATGTCTTGGCCGTCTCTACCGTTTCAGACAAGTGACTGTCAATCAATCAATCAATCAATCAGAATAGAGTTCGAAGGGACCTTGGAGGTCTTCTAGTCCAACCCCCTGCTCAAGCAGGAGACCCTACACCATTCCAGACAAGTGGCTGTCCAGTCTCTTCGTAAAAACTTCCAGCGATGGAGTGCCCACTATTTCTGCAGGCAAGCTATTCCACTGATTACTTTCTCCTTAATTCCAGGTTGCTTCTCTCCTTGATCAGTTTCCATCCATTATTCCTTGTCCTGCCTTCAGGTGCTTTGGAGAATAAGTTGACCCCTTCTTCTCTGTGGCAGCCCCTCAAATACTGGAATATTGCTATCATGTCCCCCCCACCACTAGTCTTTCTTTTCTCTAGACTAGCCATACCCAATTCCTGCAACCGTTCTTTATATGTTTTTGTTTCCAGGTCTTTAATCCAGTCTCTTCTTAAAAGCCTCCAGTGATGGAGCACTCAGAACATCTGGAGGCAAATCATTCCACTGGTTAATTCTCCTCACTGTTAGGAAATTTCTCCTTAATTCCAGGTTGCTTCTCTCCTTGATTAGCTTCCATCCATTGCTTCTTGTCCTGCCTTCAGGTGCTATGGAAAATAGGTTGACCCCTTCTTCTTTGTGGCAGCCTTTCAAATATTCAAACACTATATTCATCCGTAGCCTTTTTCAGGTCTCCAAACACCGCCCACATCCCTGCTGTAACGGAGTCCATTTACTTTGCAGAATAGTCCTTAATCCTGTAAATAATTATAGTTCCACCTGCCAGCACCACACCTCTATCAGGTGAGCAACTGGCAGTTTGAGCAGCGGGTTTTATGTCTCTTTTATGCTTAGAGAAATGGGAGGCCAGATTTTTTTTTTCTTGGTCACGAGGATGACAGCCACGTTGCTGTGTTAGTGGGCCTGTTCCTCCCTTTTCCAGTTTGCTACGAAATGAAAATGGGATTTTCCCAGGGCAGAAAACTCTGAAGTGTCCAGAAAGAAGAGTTTCTCTAAACCCAAGGGAAAGAAGAAATCAGCTACGGAACAGAGAGAAAATATTCCTTTTTAAAGGGAAGTAATTGTTCATGGGATGGCAGCTTTTTCTGGTTTGCTACAGAAATGAACATTTGATGTATTTATGCAGCCTTTCCTAAGGTGACATAATCACATTATTCCACATCCCAGAATGCAGGGTTTATCACAAATTTCTCAACAAATTTAAAGTGTGTAGACTTTCAACGCCCAGAATTCTCAACAAATCTCAAATCTCAACAAATTCAAGGAGTGTGGACTTGAACTCAAAGAATTCTCAACAAATCTCATATCTCAACAAATTTAAGGTGTGTAGACTTTAACACCCAGAATTCTCAACAAATCTCAACATATTTAAGGTGTGTAGACTTTAACTTCCAGAATTCTTAACAAATCTCAAATCTCAACAAATTCAAGAAGTGCGGACTTTAACTCAAAGAATTCTCAACAAATCTTATATCTCAACAAATTTAAGCTTGGTAGACTTTAACACCCAGAATTCTCAACAAATCTCAACAAATTTAAGGTGTGTAGACTTTAACTTTTTTTTTTTTTTAAATTTGATTTATATGCCGCCCTTCTCCGGAGACTCAGGGCGGCTTACAATGTGCTCAGCAATAGCCTTCATCCTTTTGTATATTTTATACAAAGTCAGCTTATTGCCCCCACAACTGGGTCCTCAATTTACCTACCTTAGAAAGGATGGAAGGCTGAGTCAACCTTGAGCCTTGGCAAGATTCGAACCTGCAGTAATTGCAGGCAGCTGGTCTTAATAACCAGCTTAATAACAGGGTGCCTTAAACCACTGTACTACCAAGGCTTCCAGAATTCTTAACAAATCTCAAATCTCAACAAATTCAAGAAGTGTGGACTTTAACTCAAAGAATTCTCAACAGATCTCAAATCTCAACAAATTCAAGAAGTGTGGACTTTAACTCAAAGAATTCTCAACAAATCTCATATCTCAACAAATTTAAGGTGTGTAGACGTTAACACCCAGAATTCTCAACAAATCTCAACAAATTTCAGATGTGTAGACTTTCAACGCCCAGAATTTTGCAGCCAATATGCACCCATCTTAACATACAAGGTTGAGAAACATTGGACATTTAATTACTTGATTTTTATGCTTCCTCTGTTATTTTTATAAATAGAATACTTGATTGTCACTTTGAATGTGCACTAATCGGCATACACTAAAATGAAATTACGTTGCATACAGCTCTCAAAGGGTCTCACCTCTAATATAAACATAAACATGACAAGATAAATAAATAACTCAAGGTGGTGAATATACTTAATCTCCTTCCTCCTCCTATTTAACCCACAACAACAATTCTGTCAGGTGTGTTGGGCAGAGGAAGACTGTGCCATAGTCATCCAGCTGCCCTAAAGCTGGACTGGAACTCAGAGTTTCTAGCCTGGTGCCTTCATCACTAGACAAACTAGCTCTTCTGTCTAGAACTCTAGATGATCTCTAAGATCCCTTCTGACTCATCCCTTCTGTCATTCTACAAAAACAAGCTAATTTTCTGGGTTGGCACAGCATTATGAACCATAGCTACAGGTCTGCACAGAAGACCCAAACATGTTTTGCAAGAACGAAGATTTAAAGCAGGCGTGTCCAACCCTTGTCCCACAGGCTGCCTGCAGCCCTGGGCAGCTAGTAATGTGACCCCACAAAATAATAATAATAAAAAAATTTAAAAAGTATTTTTTAAAAAATTATATGTTAAATTATATATTTCATATGTGGCCCAAGATTATTCCTCTTCACTCAATGTGGCAAGCCAAAAGGTTGGACGAGCATGATCTAAAAGCAGAATAACAAGAGTTGGAAGGGGCCTTGGAGGTCTTCTAGTCCAACCCTCCGCTCAGGCAGGAAGCCCTATACCCGTGGTGGCAAACCTATGGCACGCGTGCCACAGGTGGCACATGGAGCCATATCTGTGGGCACGCAAGTGTTGCCCTAGTTTAGCTCCAGTGTCCATGTGCACGCTGGCCAACTGATTTCGGGCCTTCCTGGCCCACCAGAAGGCAGGAAACGGGCTGTTTCCAGCCTCCAGTGAGGTGGGGAAGGCTGTTTTCGCTCTCCCCAGGCTCCTAGAAAGTCTCTGGAGCCTGGGGAGGGCGAAAAATGGGCCTACCGGGCCCACCGTGTGCCAAAAGCAGGGGGAGCGCAGGGGGGGTTGCGCGCACATGCTTGGGGGGGCGAGGTGCATTGAATTATGGATGTGGGCACACAGGTGCGCGACCACCCTGCGCTCCTCCCCGCTTTTGGCAAGCGACGGCAAAATGGTTAGCCATCACTGCCCTATACCATTTCAGACAAAGGGTTGTCCAATCTCGTCTTAAAAAGCAACTAAGCAGCAGGTCCTGGATATGCTGTAGCTGGGTCTTTTCTGTGACTCAGCCATGCATTTTCCTTAGGACTACCTCACAGGGCTGTTGTGAAGTCAAAAGCAGGCAAGACCGAAAGGCAAACTGGCAATAGCACAGATACATTTCCAGACCAGGGATGGTGCTCCCACCTCGGTTGCAGGAACTGGGCATGGCTAGTCTAGTGAAGAGGGGAGACATGATAGATGTCTTCCAGTATTTGAGGGGCTGCCACAAAGAGGAGGGGGTCAAGCTATTTTCCAAAGCACCCGAAGGCCAGACAAGGAATAATGGATGGAAACTGACCAAGGAGAGATTCAACCTAGAAATAAGGAGAAATTTTCTGACAGTAAGAATAACAGAGTCAGAAGGGATCTTGGAGGTCATCTAGTCCAACCCCCCGCCCAGGCAGGAGACCCTACACCATTTCTGACAGATGGCAGTCCAGTCTCTTCTTCAAAGCCTCCAATAATGAAGCTCCCACAACTCCTGAAGGCAACTTCTGTCCCACTGATTAATTGTTCTGACTATCAGGAAATGTCTCCTTAGTTCTAGGTCAGAAGTGGGCAATTATGGCCCTGTTATGACTTGTGGACTTCAATTCCCAGAATTCCTGAGCTAACATGGCTGGCTCAGGGAATTCTGGGAGTTGAAGTCCACAAGTCATAAAAGGGCCATAGTTGCCCACCCCTGTTCTAGGTTGCTTCTCTCCATGATTAGTTCCCATCCATCGTTTCTTCTCCTGATTGTCGTCCCCGGTCAGGAAAATTCCTCCTTATTTCTACAATCAACCCAATGGTACAGAAGTTGCCTTCAGAAATTGGGGGAAGCTCCCTCCTCCCTGGAGGCTTTCAAGAAGAAACTGGACTGCCACTTGTCAGAAATGGTCTCCTGTATGGGCAGGGGGTTGGACTAGATGACCTACAAGGTCCCTTCCGACTCTGTTATTTGATCAGAAGTGAGAGGGAGAGGTTCCCGCCTTTTTCTCCTCCTTTCTTCAGCCAAGAGGCCTTCAAACATGGCCGCTTTAAGACTTGTGGACTTCAACTCCCAGAATTCTCCAGCCAGCTATGCTATGCTATGCTATGCTATGCTGGCTGGAGAATTCTGGGAGTTGAAGTCCACAAGTCTTAAAGCGGCCAAGTTTGAAGACCTACGCTTTAGCCCTTCCCTCAAGGCCCCTCCCTCCCTCCGCGCGTGCCGTGCGTGGCCCCACCCCTGGAGACCGCGGCCCCTCCCCTGGCTCCCTGGCCCCTCCCCCTTTTCCTTCAACGGGGAGGCCAGCGCAGCGCTGCCTCCTCAGGAGTCCGGCTTGAGCCGGCGGTGCGGAGAGGTCGTCCCGTATTTCGGCTCCGAGCAGGCTCGGGGCCGGTGCTGGGACGATGGACGAGTTGCTGCTGCCCACGGCCGTGCTGGAAGTCTGCGTCTTGGTCGGAGTCTCCCGGGAGAAAGCCAGAGAAGCGCGTCAGGTATAAACACGCGTGTCGGGGGGAAACGTCGGAATGCGCGCTCTCCTCCTCCCCCCCATCCCCGGGGGAGGGCTGTTTGGACGGCGCTCCCACAAGTCCCGCGAGGCAGTTTGAGGGGAAGTTTGGCCCGCGGGTGGGGTGGAAAAAGGTTCGCCGGGGCGGGCCTGGGGAGGTTTGCCCGTGTCTTTTTTCCCCTTCCTCCTCGGCCCGCCTGGTTGCCTCCAAATCCGGCAGCCCCGAAGTTGGGAGCCTTTTCGCAAGGAAGGAGAAGGAGAACAGGAGGAGGAGGAGGAGGGAGAAAGAGAAGGAGGAGAAGAGGAGGAGGAGAAAAGGAGGAGAGGAGGAGAAGGAGAAGAGGAGAAGGAGAGGAGGAAGAAGGAGAAGAGGAGGAGAAGAGGAGGAAGAAGGCGAAGAGGAAAGAAGGAGAAAGAGGAGGAGGAGGAGAAGAGGAGGAGAGGAGGAAGAAGGAGAGGAAGAGGAGGAGGAAAGGGAAAAGGAAGAAGGAGAACGAGGAGGAGGAGAAGGAGTGGAGGAGAGGAGGAGGAGAGGCAGAAGAAGAAGAGGAGGAGGAAAGAGAAAAGGAAGAAGGAGAAGAGGAGGAGGAAAGGGAAAAGGAAGAAGGAGAAGAGGAGAAGAGGAAAAGGGGAGGAGGTGGAAGAAGAAGGAGAAGAAGAGGAGGAAAGGGAAAAGGAAGAAGGAAAACGAGGAGAAGGAGAGGAGAGGAGGAGGAGAGGCAGAAGAAGAGGAGGAGGAAAGAGAAAAGGAAGAAGGAGAAGAGGAAAAGGAGAGGAGGAGGAAGAAGAAGGAGAAGAGGAGGAGGAAAGGGAAAAGGAAGGAGGAGAAGTGGAAGAGGAGAAGGAGAGGAGGAGGAGGAGGAAGGAGAAGAAGAGGAGGAAAGAGAAAAGGAAGGAGGAGGAGGGGAGGAGGAGGAGGGAGAAGGAGAAGAGGAGAGGAAGAAGAAGAGGAGGAGGAAGGAGAAGGGAAAGAGGAAGAAGAAGAAGAGAAAGAGAAAAAGAAAAAGAAGGCTTTTCCCGGATCAACCTGCGGGTCGCCTCTCTTCCTCCTGAAACACCTGGCCGCGCTTAAATATGAAGCCGTCGCAAAAGGGGTTAACATGATCTGGGGACACTGCAACGGTCATAGATATGAACCAGTGGCCAAGCATCTGAATTTGGATCACATGATCATGGGGATGCTGCAATGGTCGTAAGTGTGAAAAACAGTCCTAAGTCCCGTTTTTCAGTGCTGTTGTAACTTTGAATGGTCACTAAATGAACCACTGTATGACGAGGACTGCCTGTGTTTATTTTTATAACCTTTGTATGAATCCACCAGATCTTGGCAGAGATTTGGGGGAGATTTGAAAAAAAATGGCAAAAAAACCCCTACCCCCCCAACCCATGGACTACAACAAGTCCCTGAGTTTTGACCACAACTCAGCCTGGTATTTCCGTTGGTGAGACGGTTGTTAAGTGAGTTTTGCCTCCTTTTATGACCTTTTTTCCCCATGGTTGTTAAGTGAATCACTGCAGTGGTTACGTTAGCAACATGGTTGTAAAGTGAATCTAGCTTCCCCCGTAGACTTTGGTTTGTCAGAAGGTCGCAAAAGGGGTTCAGTGCAACCGTCATAAATATGGGTCAATTGCCAAGCGTTCAAATTTTGATTACGTGACCATGGGGCTGCAGCAATGGTCATAAGAGTGAAAAATGGTCATAACTCGCTTTTTTCCGTGCCGTTGTAACTTTGAAAGGTGACTGAATAAACTTGTTTTCAATTGAGATCTAATCTGTATTTGCTGTACGACCTTAAAAAGATTGTTTTGTTGCTGCCAGCTCAGGAGTTCAGCGCTGTTAATTTCCCAGTGGAAAGGCCTGATTCTGAGGCTGAGGTTTGAATTTATTATTTATTTTGAACCCATTAAATGTATTTCCTGCTCACTTCATTATCGAAGCAACTGTGGGCAGCTTGCAATACAATACAAGCAAAGCCGGAATATACCACATGAAAAATATTAAAATGAGCAGGGATTGGATAAAATTGGGAACCAAGTACACCTCTGGTACAGAGGTTATTTGCTATTTATCCAACATTGATTACATTTATATGCAGCCCATCTCGCTATCAAAATGACTCTGGTCTGCTAACAAGACAAGAAAAACAAGATTATACAACAGTCAACATATTAAAAACATTAAAATTAGGTATTTGATAAAACTGGGAACATGCAGGTGTACTGAGATAATTGTTATTAAACCATTATTTATTTATTAAGCTTATTTGGTACCCATCTCACTACAGGTAGTCCTTGACTTACAACAGTTCATTTAGTGACTGCTCAAACTTACAGCGGCACTGAAAAAGTGACTTACGACCATTTTTCACATTTTACGTTGTTGCAGGATTTCCATGGTAATGTGATCAAAATTTAGATGCTTGGCAGCGGGGATGCCAGATTCAGTTAACAACCGGGTTACTACCTTATTAGCTGCAGTGATTCACTTAACAACTGTGGCACGAAAGGTCGTAAAATGGAGCAAAACTCACTTAACAAATGTCTCACTTAACAGCAAAAAGTTTGGGCTCAATTGTGGACGTAAGTCGAGGACTACCTGTATTGAAGTGACTGGGCAGCTTATGATACAATAAAAACAAGAATATACAGATAGTCCCTGCTTTACAACAGTTTGGTGACCAAAGTTACAATAGGGCACTGAAAAAATTGATTTGTGACTGTTACCACATTTATGACCGTTGCAGCTTTTCTGTGGTCACATGGTCAAAATTCAGATGCTTGCCCACTGACTCACATTTATGACGGTTGCAGTCTCTTAAGGTCATGGGATCCTCTTTTACGACCTTCTGGCAAGCAAAGTCAATGGGGAAGCCAGGTTCACTTAACAACCGGGTGTTACACACTTATCAACTGCACGTGATTCACTTAACAACTGTGGCAATCAAGTCTGTAAAATGGAGCAAAACTGACTTAATGACCGTCTCGCTTAGCAAGAGAAATTTTGAGCTCAATTGTGTTTGTAAGGTAGCTTGAGGACTACCTGTAAAGTTGTTCTGCCCCAGCTACGGACCCCAAAGAACACAGCACACACAAAGTCTATACAAAACTTAAATTTACTAAAATAACTCAGTCTTTTCCAAACAAAGGCTGTTAATAAACTTTCTTAACAGCCTAAAAGAAACCAAAGATAAAGTAATCACAATCTTACTAAGGTTGGCAGAAAGCCCAGAAGCAATTTGCAGAGAATCCAGACGCGAAGGAGAATGAACTAAAGTTGTTCCCTACAACTTGCTTCAGTCGGCGGTCCTCCTTAAATAGGCTAAGGGAGTGGCCAATTAGCCCCAAGCCTTACTCTCGAGGAGACCTCCTCCTGAGGAGCCACTCCTGCCTTTTGGCAGCTCTGCGCGCTCGTGCATCGAGAAGAGGCTCCTCCTCTTCTTCCTCTTCACTTATGGGAGCTTCTGGAGGTTCTGAAGGCCCTGGCTGAATCCCCGCCTCCGGCACCACATCTTCTCCAGCCTCCTCACTGTCCGACTCGAGTGCCAGCTGCACAGGATGCTGGCGCAGCACCACACCAGCCTCCTCGCTGTCGGAATCAGCTACAATCCGCACAGGCTGCTGACGGGCCACAACAAAAATGTTAAAAATGTTAACAAGGTTAAAATTAACAGGAATTGGATCAAATTAGGAATCAAGTAGACAGAGGGAGGGGGGTCACCTCTGTAAGCCACCATGTTATTGTTGTTGGGTTTTTAAGATTACTGTTATGAGACACTGGTTGTCCCAAAGGTGCTTTTTCAAGAGGCAACTGGACTTTCTGGTTCCAGTTTTCCAGTTGCCTCTTGAAAAAAGCACCTTTGGGACAAGCATGACACTGGGTGACTGATAATCTCCGTAGACATTCGGACTCTGGTTGGCTACTTTTTTCCACCACAATTCTACCTCTTCCTAGTTTTTGTGCGTCAAAATGTTGAACTCCTCTACTATCTGAAGTTGGGGAAGAGGTTGGCTTGAGGCTCTCAGCCCCCGGTTTCACATTTTTCTCTTGGTTGCAGTGGTTGCAGACTTCAAATCCTTCGTGTACTACGTTGGTTGATGATAGTTTGCTAATTTTAGGTCAGTCCAATCTGAAGCCCATGGGGCAAGTGACATCAGAAACCTTTGAACACAATCTTTGTTGTTGTTAGTTGCGAAGTCGTGTCTGATCCATCGTAACCCCATGGACAATCTCCAGGCCTTCCTGTCCTCTACCATCCATTGAAGTCCATTAAAGCTCACTCCGACTGCTTCAGTGACTCCATCCAGCCACCTCGTTCTCTGCCGTCCCCTTCTTCTTTTGCCCTCAATCCTTCCCAGCATTAGGCTCTTCTCCAGTGAGTCCTTCCTTCTCATTAGGTGGCCAAAATATTTGAGCTTCCTCTTCAAGATCTTTACATCCACGACTGGAAAGGAATCCCATGATCATTGTCACATTTAAGAATAAAAGAAATACCATTTAACAATTGTTCAGGCCCCATCCGCTACTTTTAAATTGTCCCATAAGACTCTGGCCAATAAGACACTTACTTTAGTTTAGAAAATATTAAGAATCTCTAGCACATAGAAGGCTGAGCTGATATTGTCGTATTTCTGCGCAACTCTTGGCTTGCACAAATGTTCCTAATGGAGAATAGCGTTTTTGTCTGTTTTGCATGATACATACATGTTGTAATAAGGGTGGGACGAAACCCCATTTGCAAACCTCAGTAAAAGAAACAGGATGTAACTGAGCCAGTTTTATTTTTCTTTAATTGGCTGCAGTTTATATATCAATAGTATTGCTCATTTCCCTTCTGTATAACATTTGTTTTTCTAGTTTAAGAAAATACAGAATGATGCCGTGACTTGTTAATTCTCAGATTATTCTGTCAATTGCTACCGTGTTTGATGCTAAGCAGATCCAGTATTAAACAAAGCTGTAGTTTTGAAGTGGGTGATTAAATATGA